TTACACCAAATACACAAAATAATGTTCTTTTTAGAAGCATCATATTACCCCTTTAAAGTTTCAATGACTCTTGACTCTTTCAATGACCCTGCATTTATATATATATAAATATATATAAATGGAAGAAGACTAGTTCATGTTAGCAAAACCCAGAACTGTTTGATGTTAACAATAACAACAATTCTTACCAATGTGGTACATGCCAATCCAGTCTGTGGCATCCACCTCTTCCTTAATATCCCATGAGATGACCAAGTTCTGGCCCCGGCCCAGAGTGAACTCTAAAGTAGAAGCTGTGAGTGAGGATCGCCCTTGAGAACTGACCAAGTCTGTATCACTGTTGGCTCTGAGGAGTCCAACTCCACCCTGCTCGGCCCCACCACGCTCAGCTAAGCTGCGAAGATTCTCTGGGCTGAGTGTGTACCGCACATTTGGGCTCCGTCTACGACCTGCAGACTCCCGTGTGCCCAGGTGATCCCGCCCCTGAGGCGCCATGCCTGACGCCGGGTTGGAGCGGGGCCTGGATGGGAGAACTGCTGTGGTGAGAGAGGGGCGAATGGTGGCAACTGTGTGGAAGCACGTCTATGGACTGGGTGAGTTTGTGGAAAAAGCCGAAATGATGGAGAACCCTGGATCAGACCTGGGCTGAACTGTAATTGTCTGGACATATAGGTGAAGGACCAGATAGGCTCGTTGTCTGCTAGAGCACTTGGCTATGATAATGGCTATTGACCTTGAGAATAAGGTATTTAATTAATCTTTAATGACTCTAAAAGAGCTCAGTTCTTTCCATTGATTGGTTAGTGGGTTCCAACTAGCAAACACAATCCTTCTTGGCTCCTAAGAGAAGATCATCAACACATTCTGTCTATGAATACACAATGAAAAAAAATTAATATAACTTTAATTCAGATGTCTCTGCAGTAAGGAACTTTAGAATCTAACAAATAAGAGTGAGAAGTTTGAAAAGGATATGGGAAATGGTAAGGAAAATGACAAAGAGAAAGAGGAACAAAGAAAGAGAAAGGTCAGTAAAGAGAAAATACTACAATACAGTTTCATGTGAACAGTTATTATTATATGACACTGATCAATTTCATGAGCCTTAAGTATGCATATCTCGATTCATTTTGAGATGTACATCACTGAAAGTAATGATAACTTGCAGTTCAGCAAGTCATATGTTTTCCCTAACCACAATAGCAGATTGTTAATTCCCAAGTTATTTTAGAACTGTTTTATACTATTGTAGCATTTTTTAATATTTTGAATTATTTTATATATATATATATAT